TTTCCCTTTGTGCTTTGTTCCACATCAGAAGAATGAGCTGCAGATGTAAAAGGCATGATTTGATATTTATTCTCCTAGACCATCTCCCTTGCAGCTACCCATTGCCAGGTGCCCCCTTTCCGATGATCTTTCATCACTTATTTATATCTTCTAACTTCAAAACGAAAAACTTTCTAGAATGAAACAGGTTGGTTAAGTATTTGAGGCCTGATTAACCAAGGGGAAACAACATTCAGACATGAAGAGGCGACTCTTTCAGGGATGTCCATGCTAATATGATGGCAGATGGCATCCTTCCTTCCGAAATAAGCTGGCCATTAATAAACAGTATGCATCCAACATTTACTAAGACTTCAGGGCATATTAACATATTTTGTCATATTCCAAAAATCAGCTTCTTGCAAAAAATTCAGATGGTAATACAGATCAGTTTGAGAAAGTTTTACACATAGTCAATAACTGCTCTGAACAACATGCATCTTTGTGCACAGGCCTGAAACAAAAAAGTAATTGTTTAACAAATGACATAGACTGCACATTGTACTGCTGCTTTAGAACAGAATTATGAATCCAAACAAATAAGCTGTTCCATATTATTAGTGTACACACCGTACAATAATTACCAATAATTATCTCAACCTTTAATCTTACCAGTTTCCCTACAAACACCTTGTTTGTCTACCACACTGTTAGTGGTACCTTTTTACCACTCTATTTAAAGAGCCGAACATTTACTTGCTGCTACTGATCCTTCAAAGCGATGCAGCAGGCAGGGAGGATCCTTCCTTGGTTGCTCTGCAGCCCCAAAAGCCCACAGCGTTGCGCGAGGTTAATACACACGCCAGCAAATCCTGACACAGAGCGCCCGCGGTCACGCTGATAGACATGCCGCCACTCCTACCTAAAAGATACCTTTCAAAGCTGACTCTGACTGTCCAAAACCAGAATTTTCAAGGAAGACAGTATTTCTTACCACGTGCGGGGTGGCTACCGAACGTAGAGCCGAACTCCCACCGCTGGCACCAACACTGATGCTGTGCCGGGGAGCTGGCTGGGAGAAGGGGCAGCGGAGGGGACGGGGGGGACCACATCCATCTAAAATACAAGTAGTCCGTTCTGCCCCAGACAAACACGTGAATGTGGGATAACAAAGACACTGGCATTTCGCTTTTTTCACAGAGGAACTCTGATTTTTTTTTTTTTAAGTCACCCCTCTCCTAATAACATATATATACACAAGCTGAATAAATACCAGAACGCATTTATAACTGTTACCAACAAAACCAGTCGTTCTTAACACAGTGGTTAATCCTGTCTTCCTGTCAAATACGCAGATAAACACTACACCTCTTTACAACATAATTACTTCCGAGATAAATCCTGTGTTCACTACAGCTTCAGAAAAACAATTTGCGCATCGCTCAGACGCGCGACTCGAGGAGCGCAACAGCTCGGAGGGCGCCTCCTGAAACACCAAGACGAGAGCGGTGGCTAGAGCGCGTTGGCGTCCCATCGCTGCGCCCCACCGACGCGGCCCCCTCGCTCCTTCCAGCTCGCAGACTCCTAAAGCCAGAGGCAGCCCCCACTACCTGATTTCCAAGTCCCTCCCATTTTTTTTAATCGCACCTTTCGTTTCCGCAGCGGCACGAACTCGAAACTCACAGTGACGCTCTGCCAAGAGCCTGCTGGTATCTGCAGCCCATGGTGACATCTTGTAAAAGAGGAACCTGCCACCGCAGCTCCTTCTCCTCCTGGCTCCATCGCGGCGCGCTCCCCGGGCCCGAACGCCCACCTCCCGCTTCCCTCCCCGCACATCGCTGCTGCCCCAGCACAGCCACGAGTTCGCCGTCTCCGGCCACGCCAAGTCACCCTGAGGAGCTGGACGGAGGGGCGCTCCGTGTCGGACGCAGACCTAACCCACGCTTCTCTCTCCTTTACCAAATAGCTCCCACGGAAGCAAATTAAAAGGTAAACCCCAGGCCTGAAAAGCAGAAAGAGCATAACGGAAACCAGAGGTGGAAGCCAAAGGGAAGAAAACAAGCCAGAAGAGGGCAGAAGCAACGACGAACGCAGGAAAAGGAACGGGAGGGGGAAGAATCGTAGCAATTCAGAGACCCGCGCGAACATCCCTGCATTTCATCATCTCCTGTCTCTCTCTGCCACACTCACCCGCTCCTTTT